AGAACAGAAAATAAACTTAAAAAAATGTGTCTCTGCTTGTGTTCGACGTCGGATTATCCCTATGTATGCATGCGTGGGCTCGCAAAAGCCTGAGATTAGAATTAGATTTAGAAAGAGACGACTGGTTACTTATTAGCCAGTGATGAAAACTAAATAAAATTAATGAAAATATGAAAAAGGATGCGACGAGAGTGATAGGAAACGATTGACAACGTTACATGTCGAATTTCTAGATGAAGGTATATATTATATCACGCTCGAATTTATGTAATTATTAAAAATAAAGAAAAAATTACCATAGGAAATATTGCTATGATAGAACGAAAAAATAAAAGAAGAAAAGAAGAAAAATTATGGCCAGAGCAATGATCGTCGTTGCGCTAATTGTGTATCGCTTAATGTTTAAGAGATCAATGAAGATGAAATATAGATTGAAAACAGAGGAAACAAATGAGAGAGTGAATAATGTATTAATTCGTTATCGACTGGTTGCGAGAAGACATTATTGATAATCGATATATACATATTATATAGAAAATAATTTGAGCGGTCATCATAACTGAAACTTTCCCATTAACATGTTTAAAAAATCTGCTCTGTTGGTTATTTAAAGATGAGAAACATACGGAGGAGATCTATACATATTATTTATATATATATACTATATATATTATATATTATATATATTATATATATATATATATATACATCCTTGTTCTATTTCTTAAATGATATTACGAAAGTTGACGAATGATGTTTGCAAATGATTCGATCTAACGTAGCGTTGATAATACCAAGGGTTAGAAAAGAAAATGGAAAATAAATAAGAAAGATAGAAAGAGATAGAGATAGATGACATGCTGCTCGTGCACACTTTTAAATAAGAGATTAAACTTGAACTTTAAAATCAATGCAATTATCTCGATTGGGGCCCAATCGATCATCGTTACCGATCATATTCAGTGTTCGAAGTTAATGTCTCGTTGTTTATGTAAGAAAAAAGAAGAGAAACATACGCTCACACATCCATACATGAGCATATACATACACAGATTTCTTCTCGATCATATGCATATGTATGTGTACATATTAATAGTAATGTTATTATTATCGTACACATAAACACACACACCCACACACACACCCACACACACACACACACACACACACATATATATATATACAATGCGCACCAATTTCTTTTTCTCATCTACGTTTTATTATAAACTGATATGAAAAGTTAGCAATGGAAAGAACAGAGAATAAATAAATAATGGAAAAAATAAACTAGATTAAAGAGAGAAAGAGAGAAAGGGAAAGAGATAGAGAGAGAGAGAGAGAGAGAGAGAGAGAGAGGGAGAGAGAGAGAGAGAGAGAGAGAGAGAGAGAGAGAGAGGGAGAGAGAGAGACAGAGAGAGAGAGACAGAGAATGTGATAAATAATATATATTAACGACGTGGTCGATGATATAATTATATTGAAAAATACCAAATCGTAAGGTTTATCGCACTAGCGTGTATAAACAAATAACACTCGTAAAATTAGTCTATCACTTAATGCATCATACACTTATTTTAAAATATCTTCTCTTATGTAAGAATACCATGTACACAAGAGGGTGGAAATTGTGAAAGAAAGTTCTACGAAGAAAAAGAAACAAACCAACCAACGAACAAACAAACAAGAAGAAGAAAGAACAGGTAAAACACAAATGGAAAGAAACAAATTTTTAAACATCGATTCGTCTTGAAAGTTACTCCCAATATCTTCGTCTCTTCGAATACTATACTTAGAATATTATAGAAGATTGCATAGAATAAAAGTAGAGAAGGAGAAAAGAAACGGGGGGATGATGAGGGGTGAGAGTAGACGAATCACAAGATATGAAGAGAACCAAAATACAAAATAAAAAAAGGAACGAGCTTATCTTTCGGTTTGCAAGTAACTCCGATGTCTAATAAACATTTTTTGCGATGAATCTATAATGAGTAGAGAAATTGGTGGTGCAGGAGGGATATTTTCAAAGATTTTGGACCATTCCGCTCGAGAGAGACAATGTAAAAGAGGGAAGGAAAGAAGGGGGCGGCTCTAGTTAGCATAACGAGACAAACAACAGCGTAAAAATAAAAATGATATGTATAACACAAATATAAGAAATCATGATAAAACAATGTCGGTGCGAGCATAATAAATTTCCTATGTTCGCATAAGTTTCCAGGCCGTACGTTTCTTATGACCACATTCGCATCGTGTACTCGCATTCTCCTCGTTAATGTTTACAACTTTTTTTTTAACCAAAGAAGGAGAGATTAAGGGAGAAATAAAATAAAATAAAATAGAAAAAAGAACATATATTGAATAGTAGGAAGAAAAATTGTCTCTCATATGTGATCTACTAATTATTATAATCCGCTAACGAGTGATAAGAATTGAATAAGAATTTATTTCATATAATTCGTCTTATAATATAATGAATTTTAATTTAAAATAAATCAGAATATTAATATGTTACGATTTCTTTGAAAATGTAAGAGATAAGAGGGATGTGAGTACACATATGAATGGATCATACATAATACAAACATATTCACAGACGCACATATTCAGGCAAGGAAATTACTTGCCGATGGTTCATGAACGACGAAGATATACAAACAAAGCCTATAATAATAATTAAATTAAATTATACAACTAAAAAATCTTTAAACAGATTACACAGATGGCAAAAATGATCAACGAAGCAAACGCAATATGATTGAAGAAAAAATACTATACTACATGTATCAACCAAGTAACATACCTGAAAATGACGATGCAAAAATATGCTAACTCGTATACGTGGAGGGTAACAAGAGAACAAATTCTAAGATATTAGAAAAGAAAATATAATAATAAAAGTGTTATAGAAAAAATGTTAAGTGATACACAAACATACACAACACACACACACACACACATATTACATACGTGCACGTATACAAGTAAATAAGTACACTTTCACGTATCAAGATATTACTATTACTATTATTCTCAAGAACACGATGCACCTAGCACCTTTTTAGGGGTTACTGCGAATGTATTGGTTCGATCGATTGATCGTACGGAAGATTTTGATATCCCTTTTTTATTCATTTCGTGTCTATACCTTGTGAACCAGCGATTTATAATTTTCTACGATGATAAATAATTAAATAAATAAATAAATAAATAAATAAGAAAGAATGAAATGAAACCTTATAAAAACGAAGAAAAATCATGCGAAGATGGGTGGAAGATTGTTTAAACGATTTTATAGGAAAATATTTAAACAAAAAAAGGACAAAGAGATAAGAAAATGATTAATAGCGTTTTGTCAGGTCACATTAAACAAAAAAAAAAAAAGAAAAGATAAAGAAAAAGCACGACTTTTGGGAAAATTCATTTTTGTCCCATAGTTGAAAGGCGTCTTTTAACGATATAATTATATAAGTATATACACATATAAACATAATACGTACAGACACATACACACGTACATATACACATAAATATATAAATATATATAAGGCTGAACAGTTAAGTTAAGAAAAGAAATATGTATACATGGATTAGG